AGGCAAGTTATACGCCTCTAGGGAAGCCTGTCAAAAGACTCAGATTTAAAATGTCATTTCCTAGATACGCGGTGTTTTCTGCAGCAGAGCTCAGCGTGACTTTCACTAGGAAAAGTTGCTGCATTTCATCTTTTCCTCGTGAACAAAAAATAATTACAACAAGAGTTTCATTGATTTTTTTTTCTTTTTTTTTTTTAATTCTTGGGAGCAAAATGTCATGCAGCAAGTCTGAGACTAGAGAAAAATCCTGGTTCAAGTCCAGTCAGCAGCTCTAACCAGAAGTAGGCAGGATAGGCAGCATCAAGCCTGACCAACCACTGTACAGGACGAACGTCTGGTCAGTGGACCTTTACATATGGAAAGCAGGGAAGATCAATATAAAGTGTTTGTAAAAAAAATCTGTATTTAAAATCCATTTCAAACGGCTTGACTTCAGTAGTCACACCAGCGGCGGAGCGGGGTCGGCCTAAATATTTGGATGGAGACTCACTCCAGCTCGGCCTTTACAGACTGTGCTCAGAGTCCTTTTCTGGCACAACCCTCTTCCAAGGAAGTCCTGAAGGGCTGAAGCCTGTATTAAAATCTCTAATATGAGAAGAATTTCAGCAAGGTCACGATATAATTAACCCGAGTTATCTTTCAAAACTCTTGCTGATATATATTCTGACACTTCAGACTAGGCTCACGCTGTGATTTTTAAAATTAGCAGAGAAGGAGGCTTTCATATTCATTCGCACTAAAAGGATAAAGGAACATTTGCATAAAAAGAAAAAGGTGGTCAGTACTTTCTATTATTCTCTTATTCTTTTAACAGTTTTTCTTGTTTTTTTGTGTGTGTGTGTTTTTTTGTTTTTTTGTTTTTTTAATGGCGTCTCTATATGGCAAAGCCTTATTCTGTCCACTTGCTAGTCTGCAGAGAAGTCTTAGTCTTATTTAAGGATCATGGTGATTCCCTTCAGTGCTTGGAGAAAAAAAAAAAAGGAAAATCAGGGCTATTATCCTGTGTTTATAACAAGTCTATTACCATAGTAACGACTGTGATGTCACAAACCCTACATTGAGGGCCAAATTCTGTCCCTGACGGGGGAAGGGCAGCTTAGCCTTGGAAATCAGACAAAACTGTACACAAACATGTGTGGCCAAAGCAGGGACAATGCTTGTGGTAATCACCAAAGCCCAGGGAGCTCTCCTTCTCTGAAGAGAAGGGGGGGAGCAGGAGGAGAAAAGCAATTCCCCAGGCCCACAAATAAGGTACACCCACACTTCTGGATGCAGCTGTGCAAAAGGAGAGGAGAAATCCAAGCAAGTGTGGTGTCACCACGTTCCCCATCCCAAGTATTCCACTGGGCCCACTGGCTGCCAAACATGGATGGGATCCAATCTGAGCCCGCCCAAGCCCATGAAACATGCTCTGGAACCGGTGCCCAACCCGATGGAACCCTCTGGTACCTCAGAGGAGCAGTGACTTGCCTCATGATGGTGAGCCCTTCAAAACCAAGCTGGGGTTTTAGTCCTGCTAGGTCATCTCAGTTCACAGAACCACAGATCCTCAGGTTCAGAGAACGCATCAAGTCTCCAGAAGGTGGGGACTTGAAAAAATGACTGTGTACCTGTCACTGGGGGGTCTGAAGTAGCAAACTAGTAAGGACTCTTATTCTGATGCAGTCTAAGCAAGTTTTGTACAAATACGCTGGAAAAGCAACTTTATATTAAAAGGAATATTGAATCAGGAGTCAGAAGACATTGGATTAGTCTTGGCTCAAGTACTTAGAAGCCACCTGACCTTGAGAAAGCCATTTAACCTATGTGACCTTTATTTTTTTTATTTAGCTATATCTAGTACACTATTTCCCAGAGTCACTGTGAAGATCAAATCACATCAAAAAATGAATGTGAGTGCGCTTCATGAACTATAAAGGATTTAATACAGACATAAGGTATTATTATTACTGGTATTGTCACATGGCCAGTTTATGGCAGAACGGGAATAATTTAAATGCTAACAGTTATTTTCTTTCCAGGAATCCAAAACATACATATGCTCCCTGTCTTCCCCATCCCGAGAGGTGGACAGTTGCATGATATAGTCAGTTCTAAATTATTCAGGGGCTGATTATCGAGGGGCCTTTTACTTCTAGCCATTGTACCATTTATTAGTTTCCCTTAGGAATGCCAGTGTTAACCTACATATAGCTATAACATTGATAGAGAATGTGCCTCAACTCAGTTACCCTGAATAACAACCCTGGCAAAAGTTTTAACAGAAGGAGAAAGTGAAGTGATTAATTAGATGAAAGTTTTTAGGTAATCTGTGGGCCTTACTTATCCATGGATAATTATACACATCACTGTCATAAAGCTATAGTCAAACTCTGACAGGTTGGGACTAATCCAGCCAAGATACTAGCATTTTCTCAACAACAGAGTGGCCCATACTGGTGATGTATGTGCAGTAGGAATTTGACTATCAACCATTCAGTCAGTTTTCAACAAACATTACTGGAGCACCTACTATGTGCCAAAACTCACCACATACCCTGAAAACCCCACCATCTTCCTATCCATGTTGCTGTCCCTTATGATATTATACAGAGCACCTTGGCAAAGCTCATAGCCTGACTCTCAGAAACTCAATCCTGAAACTTTTGCCAATCTTACCCTAGTGCAAAAATCAGCAACCTCTGGTTGTTGGGCCAGACTCTCCTTCCTGCCTTTTTTGTAAATGATATTTTATTAGAACACAGCTACACCCATTTGTTTATGTACTATCTACAACAGCAGAGTTCAGTAGTTCTGGTAGAGACAGCACAGCCCAGAGCCTAAAACACTATCTGGCCCTTTGTAGGAAACGTCTGCAGACCCCTGCACTAGATAATGTGACTGAATCAAAATTCATCTCTCCTGTCCATGTTTCTGTGTAGGGATTAATGGAGAAACCTCCTTGAAAGCAGAGATCCTTTCTGTATCTTGGTCTTGTCATATAGAACCTTGGAGAAGCACAGAGCCAAGGTTTAGAGCAGATACAGAAAATTAAACACGTCCTTCCCTACATTTTGTTTTCAACAGATGAGTGCTTTGGGGTTGCATGAAGACAGCATAAAACCACTGGTGTTGAGTTACTTCTGGCTTCTAATTCCTCCGAGTTCCTATGTCTAAGACTTCCAAGGCTCAATCTTTGGCCTGTATCCCTTTGCATATTTTTTTCCTGATCTGATGTGGAATTAGAGTTAAATGGGAGCTGTGTGCTTGAATTCCACGTGGCTGGCTCAGCAGGAAACTCCAGGGCAGGTTTTTTGGCATGCCAAGCTCATGTTAGCCTCAGCTATGCTAATTTCTAAAGCTGTTTGCTTTGCTCAAATAAATCTTAGAGGGGAATTTGCATTTGGATACACACCTTTTTATGCACAAATTATGTGCATGATAATTCTGGGACAGACTAAGGACTTAAAAAAAAAAAAAGAAGAAGAAGAATGGTGTTTACGGAACAGCTTTAGTGTCATGGGCACTTTGCTAGGTGCTTTACATATATTTTCTCCTCTCACAGCCGTGACAATCCTGTGAGATGAAACTGTGATCCCCATTTTACAGATGGAGAAACTGAGGAGGAGAGAGCTTATATAATGTGTCCGTGTCCACAGAGCTGGTAAGTGATAAAGCCTAGATTTAAGCCCAACTTGTCTAAATCGGAGGCCAGTGTCCTTTCGACCTAGACACACTGCCCTAATGTTCCCATTTATCATTACCACGCATCCAAGCCACTGGACACTCACTGGAATATGAACTCTATCTACATTTACAAAAGTAGTCACCCCGCCCCTTCCCAGTGGCCTGTGCAAAGTTATGTCTTTGGTCCTTCGGAGATACACCTGGGTCCCTCTGCATCAGAAAACAATCAACCAAAGGAAAATAGGGGCATTAAAAAGGCAAACTATGTGATACACATATTACATTAGAAACTAGCAGGCAAACACAATCTCAAGTGATTTTGATAGGTAAATGGATTTTAATGACATTCTCTCTCGAGGACTTCGATACGAAAGGACACTTTTTACTACTAAAATGTAGTAGACTAAGCAAGGGAATGTACCCACACTATGAAGAAAAATGTTAGTAACTCTCAGAATATGGTGTAAATACATCTATAATACAAGCCCAGGAATTTATATCTACAAATACCTTCACTGTTTATGAAAACATAACCACACACTTATCTCCCCCCCCGAACCCCCCCAAAAATACAAGTTATTTCCCTTCAGTAAGTTATAGTGAGTACTGCCATCAAAACTTACTATTTATCATTGTTCAGCTCAATATACAGAAAAATAACCACTGTAGCAATTAAGCATTCTAGCGTAACTTCAGCATTTCACAGCAAGCCAGATACAGTATCACTGAACTTCTCTTTCCGTATGGAGCACATTTGTAACATAGCTTGTGCTATCACATAATGCTTAACTCATTGCCTTGTACCTTTATACACACGCCATCTGATCTGGAAATATTAAAAAACTGATTACGTTTGCATGCAAGTGAAATCCAGACATCCATTTTTCTTTAAAGCTCTCAAAGACAGTTTTCCAGGGATTAGAAAGAACTCTGTGACGGAGATGGATAATCTAGGTTATTTCTAAGAAGGGCAGCCCGCTCAGGAGACCCAACCCCTCACAATGCCACCACATGGTTCAGTCAGTCCGTACATAAAATTATTTCATCCTTTCTTTTTTAATTTTTAACAGATGATTTCAGAGGAGGAAAATTACTTTTTTGTAGCCAGTGGTAGGAAAAATTCATTCAGTTGAAAGTAGATTGGGGACTTGGCCTGAGTTTGCCTAACAGAGTAATGAATGCTACTTTAAATAACACATGCACGAACGTGTCTTGTCTATAAAGCTCCTAAAAACAGTCTTTTCCAAAGGTACCTTGGGCATTTAATAATTCTTTATAAGGTAATTATAACTTTCTAGGAATTGTTCTCATTGGAAACCCCAGTAATGACTTACCTGCTGGTGGCTTTATGAAAGGTGGAGGAATTAAAGGTACAATAATGGGCACATTGCCATGATCCTTGGACCCTGCAGGTGAGTCACTGAGTCCGTTTCCTGTGGCAAGCCCAGAATAGCCTGTGCTTATATTGTATGGTGAAATAACACTGTCCTCGGGTAATTTGGGTTTTGGCAAAGAATTTTCTGTAAAAGAAAAAAAGATCACATTTACTATTACAAAAGGGCTTGTTTTCCTTGTGATCACATTTTCTCAAGTCAAATGGCCATGTAACAAAACCAACTTTTCCTTGCAGATCTTTAAACACTTTACCAGAACTCCACAGACTATCCTGTACCTTTTCAGTTTTGTTAACCCTAAATTTTGAGGGGGATCCTTTACCATTTTGCTCCATTATGATAACTAGTACCTCAACTGCATCCTGGTGATGCATTTTAGCACTGGGAAAACCCATAGAAACCTGAGAGGCAATTAACCTTTTCCGGGTACAAAGTCACATCTAGCATCACCCTCCGGCTACCAGCTAAAAACATGCCCCATCCAGTCCTATCACTAGATCCCACTGTATTAAAAAGTTTGGTCATAATATAACCAAAAGAACCCATAAGAAAGGAGCAGATTATTAGAAAGAAAACTTGTTTCACAGGGTAAACATTAGTATCCATTAACTATTAACAAAAATGAAAATAAAGAAAACTTACAATGATCTGAACTTTGTGAATTTTATCCTTGCATGTGAATCATTTAAAAAAAAAATTCAACCATGGAAAACAACTTTTTCCCTCTAGTAGCATATCCTGGCACTCTCTCCATGTTCCCCAGAGGCAAAGATTATTACCTAGACCAAGTATTACACGAGCTATTAGTTTATAGAATATAAACTCATGACTTGCATTTTTCATTTACAGTAAAATTGATGATACTATCCCTGTAACATGATGTGTACAATTTCATAGCGGGCTTAACATGAAATTTGTTACGTGCGTTCAATTCCACATGCCTGCAGGACAGCTCATTTACATTTTGTTGCTTGGCATATAAGAAGGAAAAAATGCTATCTTAGAGACTGGAAATAAAATGCACGAACAGGTAGTTTATGCCAACAGATTTTGAATGCAGTGCAAATACTGATCAAATTGCCAGTGATGGTGCACGATGAATTTTACCCATGCTTTATTGAAGTTCACCAAATGGACTGCTCCTTTCCATACTCCTTTTTTTGACAATCAAACTCTCACTCCGAATTTAGGTCCATAAATTTAGCATCCATAACAACACCCACCTCTGGTTCTAGGCTTCCCTCATGAGATATCTGACACTGCTATTCGATGATTATAATCAGTGTTAATTCGACACGGCCAAGTCTCTAATTTCCACTCTTTGGCTGGGCTTTGACGAAAATTCTTATAAAATAATGTAGGATCCAATCATGCACTACTCTCTTACTCCTCATGCCCCATCCAAGGCTGGGGGCAGGAGGAACTTCAAACACAAAACAGAAATAGGGCTTTCCTTTCGAAATCCCACCAAAAAAAGGAGGAAGAGGGGATTACCAAACTAACTTTCAAGGTCTAAAAATCCAAATGCAGTATTTCACTTAATAGAAAGCACCTGTCCCCAAAAACTAATAGATCGAAGACTCAAGAAACTAGAAGGAGAACTTAGCAAACATTGTCCCTTTCTATAAATCTGTGGGCAGAACCATAACCCTAAGGTCCCTAGCCCTTGCTAGCTAGCGCTCGCATTGCTGGAAGGAGATTAAGCTGTGTCTATTTTTGTTCGATGTTGTGCTCTTTTTTCTGTGGAATTCTGCTTATGGGAAAGCACTACTGGGGATGTACGTTTAAATCAACCATTGGCATAATCAACAGGATGAGTCCCAAAGCAACTCAATTGGCAGGTTGAGATAGTTAATCCTTCTTTGCATGAACAAAGGGATATTAAATGTCATTACCTTTGAGAACAGAAATGTGCTGGCGGCTCTCTCCGTCTGTAGGGTAACTCCTGAATTCAATATCTTCACCATCTTTCAATTCGACCTTATCATAGCCGTACCAGCCAAGGAGTTCATTCATAGTGTTTTCTGCAAAGTTCTGGAAGAGAAGCATAGGCTTCTTTTTCATATCATCAATAACTGTTTGAAAAGAATGCATAAATCGAATTCTGTTTGCACTACCCATTGACGGCTAGGCCTGCCCCACCTCCCCTAGAGTGGCGCTCGTTTTTCAAATCACGTTCAAAAACCGTAATGCATTTAAATCTCAGGATGACGCATCCAATTATGACAGGCCTTCAGACACTTGCAATTTAAAGATAATAAGAAGAAAAGGTATCTGTCAGTTTTGCTTATAAATAGAAGTCATATTTTAGAATATTCTGCAAAGTCTATATCCCACACACGCGCAAAAATATTGAAAGGTAAAGCACAAACACAGCTAAGAAAATATTTTGAAAATGAAAACAATTAATCGACCTTTTTGTGGTTCAGACTGATTTAAATTAGAATTGCTTTCTGATTCAGGTATTGTTTCTTAACATAACTCCTATCTCAGAGAAAGCAAAATCTCGGCCAAGAAATAATTTCTCAGTTGTCAAGGCTACAAGGGTCTCCCTTTTTAATTTTCCCTTTTGCAAGTGTATACTTTAAAAATCAATGCGTAATTTGCTTTACAAATTTCACTAGCGACAGATTCTCCGTAAAACGAAAGGTCACTATGATTGTCTTCTGACAAATAATGTAAAAATACCAAATAACCTTAAGGTTAATAGTAAGCCCAGTTTTGAGAACACCTGAAAACATTTTATGAACTGTCAATCAATATGTAAATATAAGGTACTATTATTGTTGTTATTATACATACCAAAAATGTGAAAATAGTGGGTATAGTTGGACAGTTTTAAAGCTTTAATATCAGGTGACCATTTTTTTTGTGACCTTATCAACAGCTAGATCTGGAAATAAGATGTGAGACTGTATTAATGATCTTAACGCTTGCCTGTGCCTTAAAACATCTCTGAGAAATAAAGTGCAGTGATAGTCACCAGGAGTTCGGGGGTAAGGGAAATGGGGAGATAGTGGTCCAAGGGTACAAATTTCCAGTTATTAGATTAACAAGTCTGGAGATAAAATGGACAGCATGGTGATTATGGCTAATAATACTGTATCATATACTCAAATGTTACTAAGAGAGTAGATCTTTTTTTTTTTAATTTAAAGTATTTTTATTAACATATAATGTATTATTTGCCCCAGGGGTACAGGTCTGTGAATCATCGGGCTTACACATCTCACAGCACATCTTAAATGTTCTCACCATGAAAAAGAAATGGAACTATGGGACGGGATGGAAGGGGTCGCTAACGCTACAGCAGTAACCATTTTGCAATATATAAGTCCATCAAATCAGTGCATTGCACACCTTACACTTACACCATGTTACGTGTCAATTATACCTCAATGAAGCTGGGGGAATTTTCTTAAAATAAAAAGAAGGGCCCTGTGCTGCAGAATAAAGGCATCATAAATACAGAATGAATTTATTTTTTTTTTTTTAAATCTCTATCTGGCAAGGCATCCTGAGCTTCCCAGACTTGCTAGAAAAGCGATACATTCTAACCTTCTCTGTGGCTCAAAGAACCTTTTCTCATTCTCCCTAGAAGCTGTCATTTCCGAATTACACTGGGATGTATAATTTATACACCTGAAACAAAGCACTCAGGCTAAACCAAGAGTGTGCACAGCCTCAACGTGCGAGTTCCTGTTCTCTTGAATTTCACGACTTTAGATTTCAGCAGGGGTTGCATAAAAAAGAAGAGATATTACACTACTGACTCCACAAAAACAAACCTGGCATTTCAAACCACCCACAGAATGCTAGCATCTTTACTTTCGTGCCCACTTAAGCTCAGAGCTCCAACTGGGTCTATTGGTGACGATACAGGGCGCCAGCAGTTTAAAAAAAAATCTAGCCAGATTGATTCAGTGTGACCATCCACAAGGCCAACAGTCAGCCATATCAAGCTTTAGTGAGGCATTTATTCTCTCTGATGGCTGGTCATGTCCACATTAAATAAATAGACATTAAATAGACATTCTTTTCATGAGTGCACAAAGATGATATGATCGATCTGTATAATAATCGGCAACTTCTGGAATACCACTGAGGAGGACTCAGCTAAAATGCTGCTTTACTCAATCAGAAGAGATCCCTTTAATGAGGCACCAGTCTCCCCTAACACCCAATTCTTTTCACTAAGCTAAGCGCCTGGCCCAGAGAATGACAGTCGCTAAGCACACAAATCGAGGCCCTCCATCAGTGGTCTGGCAGCAGAAATCTCCAAGGATAAGGATTACACCTTACATCCAAACCCCAACTCCCAACAGTGTTGAAAGCCAAATTCAAGCCATCCTCTAGGTCTGTGTGCTATTTACCCCAATCTCCAAGAGAACCATGCCAACAAGACAGAAAATCTTTTTTGCATAGTAACTCCTGGCCACCATATCCAATTTTCTAGACCGTTTGTATCTGGGCTCCTCTCTCTCTGGTTCTGTCTAACCTCTGAAGTGACACAAAGGCTACAGATGCATAATTCATGGAACAACCTGCCAGCCAAGGATATAGATTTGTTTGTTTTAGTCCAGCTGCAAATCCATTCAGCTTTTCAGAACCAATCCCAGGGACTGAGTCCAGAAGTTTCAGACATTAGGGTAAAGACTGAAACCTCAACTGGGTTATTAACACCAAATTTGTATTATTGGGGCATCTTAACGATACCCCGTAGTTTATGGTTCGTGCTGAAAACTCAGAGGCTTCATGGAACAATCAATTTGAACTTGATCTAGTCCATGATTTTCAAGTTACTATAAATGTCAATGAAAATAAACTCTGAAACATTTCCTTTCTTGTCAGTGAAATAAAAATAAACACCTTAATGCTTCACTATATGCCTGCAAAAGAAGAAAACAAAAGGTTTATAAACCCTCAAGCCATAAATCTCAAATCTTTCATGGAAGGAGAAGCAAGATGAAAGAAAAAGCAACACCAAAGTTTCCTGCAGCATATGAAATGGACTATTATTACTTCTGTCTCATACACTACTGTATTAAGAAATTAAAGAACCCCAAAGAATAGCTAATTTAAGATTTTTAATTGCTAGGTAGCATTTGATGCTAGATATCATATGGGCTCATTATGGTACTAAACCAAAGGAAATGAAATAGATTTTTACAGTTATCATCCAAGAAACATAACATACTCTAGAAGAAATGAATTTAATGTTTATGGCCCATAAGGGTTTTCAAATCCTTCTGGTAGAAAATTCCAGCAGTTGTTCTTTCCACATTTTTTGTATTCACATTTTTTGTATTATTACCCTTAAAAAAGGAGTTTTGTTTAAAAAAAAATTCCTTTCCTACAAAAGTTTCTCATGTATGCTATTTTTTTTTTAATAAAGGTGATAAGAGGGGTGACTGAGTGGCTCAGTCATTAAGCGTCTGCCTTCCACTCAGGTCTTGATCCCAGGGTCCTGGAATCAAGCCCCACATCGGGCTCTCTGCTTGGTGAAAAGCCTGTTTCTCCCTCTCCCACTCCCCTTGCTTGTGTTCCCTCTCTCGCTGTGTCTCTCTCTATCAAATTAATAAATAAAATTTAAAAAAAAAATTTAAAACAAAATAAAAAGGTGATAAGATTAAACTACAGAGATTTTAGAGGTAAAGATGTTCAATAAGATAAGTTACTATACCAAGGGAGATAGTGAAATTTATTTCCCCCCAAATCTTTTCCCAGCAAATGTCCTAGAAATAGAATGGGAAACTGATGTCCCTCAAGGTCCCTCCCCACAGTAAGATTCTCTGAAATCAAAGAACTTTGACTTACACAAGAAATTAAGTATCTTTTGCAAAGAAATATCATAATTATCATGATCACACATCATAAATTTTACCGAACAGTTACTATTTCAAATATTTTATCATTGCTCCTATAAACCATGAAAATTGTGCCAGAAATTTCAATATTCTGGCATCTGAATTGCATTTTGCAGACTGCCTCTCACCCTTGGAAATGGCACAAAAATCCTCTCTCATACCATGTGGTCCAATTTGGGTTTGGAAAATAGGTCACTATAATTATAATGATAATGTCTGACACTCTTACAGCACTTTACAGTGTTTCCACATCCTTTAACTCTCCTGTTCCTTTCAATAATCCTGTAAGTTGGGCATTTGATTTCCACAATAAACTTTTGGTGAACCTGTATGATACCCTCTTTTTACAACAAAAAATTAGTGCATCCAGAAGGTAAATGGTAGGCATGAGACATCACCCAATAAAGTCGAAACAAAATACAGATCTTCTGATTCTTATACCAGGCCTCTTTCTACGATCAGTTCCATATAGTCCAATGTGTCAGCAATTCCAAAGAAACAACCTCCTTGGACCAACCAAAGAGCTGCAAAGCAATCATACTACAGGATGTCAACATCACCTGTAAAGAGCTTTCCAACTCGGGCCCCTATCTACCTATGTTAAAACTTCATTTTACTTGCTTTTGGATTTGATCATTGGTCTCTATTCTCCTTAATTATTTGTATTGTTGGGGGGGGTCAAAATTCACTGTTGAAATTTAATCATCTCATTTTATAATTTTGGGGGCATTGCATCTGATTCTAATTGCTTTGTACAATTTCTTTTTTTTTTTAACACAATTTTATTTATTTATTTATTTAGAGCACATGATCAGGGAGAGAGGCAGAGGGCGGGGGAGAGAGAGAGGGAGAGAAGCAGACTCCCCACTAAGCAGGGACCTGACACAGGCCTCCAGCTCACAACCCTGAGAGCATGATCTGAGCTGAAATCAAGAGTCAGATGCTTAATGGACTGAGTCACCCAGGCACCCCTAATTGCTTTATATTTTTAATATTTACCCCAATACTTCCTTACCCTCTCCAATTCCTCTTTCTCAATCTCAGGACTCCTAAATTCCTAACATTTAGTCTGAAAACATGAATTTAAAAAAAAAAAATAGGTCACAGAAAGATGATGGAAAGGCTGGAAATTTTACTATTTCCCCATTCCTTCTGAGTTCTTTTGAT